GATTAAATTTTCTGGATATCTATATAACAAAAAGAGTAAAATGTATGAAGTCTTAAAACTTCATTAAACTATGCAGAATTAAATTAGGAGTAAGGATGACGTCACCATTTGTGTAAGAGAGTGGTGAGTGTAGATAGTACTATAGGTTGCAAAGAGAAAAGTATTTGGGGAAATGGATTTGTTATCTCTCAGAGCCCCTATTTATGTGTTAAGATTTTGTGAATGAATTGGTTCATTTGTTTATAAACATTTAGAATACCAGAACAGTCAAACTGTTGAGTAGGGACAGGGAGAACTATCACTAAGTTTTAATACTTGTCCCTATACCCGGATTTTCTTGCCCCCTATACTTAGGTTTTGAAAGTGATTCTAGATCTGGTGATTCTTATTAGATAGGTCAGGCATGACCAGGTGATTAGGATGCTCGACTCACAATCTGTGGGTCGCGGGTTCGAATCCATATCCCACCAAATACACTCGCCATTTCAACCGTGGGGGCGCTATAATATGACGGGCAATCCCACTATTCGTTGGTAAAAGAGTAGCCCAAGAGTTGGCGGCGGTTGATGATGACTAGCTACTTTCCTTATAGTCTTTCAATGTTAAATTAGGGACGGCTAGCGCAGATAGCCCTCGTGTAACTTTGCGCGAATTTCATAAAAACAAACAAACAAACCTTATTAGAAAAGTCGATCGGTTTGTCAGTTTTGATCAGATCATTCGGTTCAAAATTTCTTTGTTCTAGATGTGTTTGTTGAGTATCACGTATTGTGTAATAGGTTTGACTCACTTAGGTTTAACCTCGCAATCATTGAGACACAACGCATAGACATCAGATTTGTTCAGAAACCTACGTCCCTAACCTCATACATGAATAGTCTAGACAGGTCACTTAACTGTAGGACAACAGAAGTGATTCTGATTGGTTTTATAAACGTTGCTTTGCATTCAAATACAAAATACTACAAAAATAACAACAACAAAAAAATGTTTTGTACAAGAA